TTTGATTTAAATAATAATAAATTAATTTTACTTTGCAACAGAAAACTAAAAAAGAAATCAATTTCAAATTTTAGAGTCGTGGTCTACATCTATATTTTGGAGAGCAGTTCCACGTAGAACCATGCTCTAATCTTATACTTATACTTTGAAGAGTGGTTCTAATCTTACACCTATACTTTGGAGAGCAGTTCCACGTGTAACTGCTCTCCAATCTTAACATTTCAGAGCAGTTGTTTAACTGCTCTCTTAAATATAACACATCAGATGACACAAGATTTTAGAGCAGTTCTAAACGTTCTCTAATTCAAAACAAAACTGCTCTCAAATCTCCGTTCTGGCATAGTGTATGTTCCCTTTAACCTATTTCATTATTTTTCACCAATTAAAATTATAGGTAGGTTCTCCATTGTATGTGATGTAGTAAGACTTATTCTTATTGTATCCAAATTCATATTGAAGAATAGGACTATGGACTTTATTCCTCATAGGAATAAAAGTAAAAACAAAAATAGAAAATTTTGAAACACTACATGTCAGTAGATTTTTAATAGTGAAATACTTTTGTATTGAATGTAATGATAAAAAGTTGTTTTATTTAAAATTTTATAGAACTAACATCAAAAGAAATTAATTGGACTAATTCCAGAAAGGTGTATTTGTTAAGAAATAATTACTTATTTAAGTATCACATGTAAAGCTAGCATTGTCACATGATAGTTATTATGTGGAGCACTGCTTGTTTAGGGACTATTTTAAAAAAATTTGAGAACTAAATCAAATAAAAAAATTATAAAGACTAATTTTAAAAAGAGATATTTTTAAAATTTTATAGAAGAAAAAACAATTAAACACAACAATAGTAGCAAGGAATGGAAGTAAAAAGGAATGGAAGTAAAGATTGTACGTAACTTTAGAATGTATAGTGTTTGAAGGATAAGATAAAGAGAAAGAGAAAGAGAAGAAGAAAAATTGTTTTTTCATATTAAAATATTTTTTTTTCCTACTTTGGAATATGATATTTGTTCAGTTGACAAGTGTACTTTGGAATATGATATATGTAGTTATCGTCCCACAAGGATTATCCTTCAATTACTAAGAATTTTTTTCTTAAATTGTTTGAACGTAAGGGATACGTAATTGCAAAATTGTCATTAAAGCATCAAAATATTTATCTCTCGATCTTAATAGAAACCACAACACACACCTTAAGGAAAATTATAGGAATGAGACCTAGGACATATGGGTTCACTCATCCAATCCTTTACACTTGTTTTCTAATTAATTCTAGATCTGATGTATGTGTGATTACCAATCATTCATGCAATGGTTACTAATACCCAATGGTCATGCAGTATTAATATTCTTTCCTCAAAATTTACATCTCCAATGGTTATGCAAGATATTAATTAAAGGAAGCATAAAGAGCCTACAAACTTGTTAATTGAATAATGATTGGAAAAAAAATAGTGATTTGGTCTACCTAATCCTTTGTCTCGTTTATCCTACAAATCTATTAATTAATCTAGGTACGGCCGCCTAAAGATGTAATTAATTAGAATTATGTTATGAGTGGCCAATTCACAGCACACAATTAAAAGCGGTAGGAAAAGCACTAATCACAATGAGAATCAAATATAAATTTAATTATCAAACTCTCATAAAGTCAGGAACAAGAGTTCCCATAGTGCTAGCTATGGGTTTAGTTACTCATTCTCAAAAGGAGAATTTAGGCATTCATAATTAAAGCCATAAACACAATGATAAAGTGAGATGGAAAACAAACTAGAAGAAGGATCTCGTTCTCCAAATCCGGTCACTTGAAGATCTAAACCCTTTAGGAATGTGCTAGTGATCTTGTGCTGAAGATGCAAGAGAATTTTGTTGAACTCCAATCTCAAGTCTCCAACGTCCAAAATAGTGTCCCCCAATGGTCTTTTTCCCTCTTTTTTTGTAAGCTTTATCAGTTCTAAACTCATGTGAAATTAGTGGGCTACGCATGTCAACATGACCGTCCTGTCTGGATGCACGGGTGTGCTTAAATTGTAGACATGGCCGTGTTTTATACTAGCACAGTTGTGCATCATAACAAGGCATGGGCATGCTGATGAGAAAGAACTGGGCGTGCTTGCTTCTTAATTACTAAATTTCCTTCAATTTGTGCCTAGAATCTCCAAAATTCTTATAAGTCTCCATACATGCTTGTCTATAACAATTAACAAAGTTTTCAGTGTAAAAACCTCTTCAAATCAATAATAAAGGTACATATGCCTACTCAAAAAATATACCAAAATGTGGGCTTATCAATATTCATGGTCTCTCTTCGCTCATGTGTGCAAGTGCCTTGTTACATCTACTTCATGGTGTGTAATTATGTCTTCTTAGATGGAAGGAAAAGAAGAGAACTCGATAACTTAAATGACAATTACCTACCTCTTTTCAAATTCAAATTAATCTATTCAAATTTTTTTAGAAAATACTAATGAAACAATTTTGGAAGAAAAAGAGTGCACGAGAATGTGACACATGTACATTTCCACCATCTATAGTCTTCTTTTGTAGTAAGTAAAGTATTGATTGATCATAAGTAAGGCTTAACATGTCATACAACAAGAAAAACCTCAATAAACACAGGAAATACATTCACTCCAAATCTTCCCTAATGATCCTAGAAACTTTAAGAGGAATCTCTTGCCAAACATGCAATCCTATGAGAATATTATGATTATCATTGGAAAGGAGGTCAATGGTTCTATTAGCTTCCTTAAAATTATGTGATTTAAGATGAAACCCTTATTATCCCTAAGAATACTGTTGATCAGATTGTAACACTAATGAGATAATAGACAACATCAAATAATCAAAGAAAAGAAATATTTAAAATCATTTTCAACAATGAAATGCTCTATCTTTAAGTCCACAACAATTTTCAAACCATGCTGAGAAAGACTCAGCCTACACGCTTGTTTGTCCGCCTCTGGTGGAAGACAAAAGAGGTGTTTTACCCTCCAGTTGACATTCACGTACGCTCTTCCTTTATTGGAATATATTGGCATTCTCACATAATCTATTTGTTTGTCTTGTGCAATCAGGAATAATGCTTTTATAACAAAAGACAAAGGATCCATAACGATGATTATGAAAAAAAATCACACCTGCATATGTGAGAAGTGGTTTGAAATCATTGTTTTTAACTTTTTGACATGCATTTCTTCATCTTTGACATGAAATAATAGGTTCGTTAAAAAATTACAGTTTTTTTTTTCTTAATCACTTTTTGGTTTTGAAATTTTATTTCCTTGCAAGCAACTTTTTTATTATTATTAATTTGAACAAATTAAAATCTAATAAATCAAAACTAATACGTAAATCTAACCATCCTCACTATCATTGAAAATGCTGAATGTTTCCGCACCAACCAAAAACATGAAGGGCAAGCTTGGACCCATTTCAGACTACGGGTCCTATAGGTGTCTGTGAAGTTATGAGTTGATTATATGGTAAGTTCGATTCTCAAGGCCGCTTTAATTTTAATGCATTGTTAATGTAAACTTTTTCATATTATTAACTAATTAATTTCAATTAAGAATAAACATCAATTAAAAGCACATGAACTCAAGATCATCAATTAATTTCAATAAATTAGAGAAATACCAAAAAAGTAAAACACAAAAGTAATATCTTTATATTAGATGCATCTGTTAATCATTACATTCCATTGCTTTTGAGTAAAAGAAAATACTAAGAAAGACAAATATGAGTAAAATTAAGAAAGCAAAAATTTAATTTACCATCATTCTTAATTTTTCGAAAAGTACAACACACGCGTTTTGTCTAGTTCTCGTATTAAACAGCATACAATCACATGCCAGAAGTGTACTTAATAACATGCTGTAAAAATGAAACGGTAAAAATAATCACTAGCTTTGAATCCAGTGAATAATAGTTTTGGTAAAAGTAGATACAAAATTGTGAAAGTAATGACTATATCAGAAGTTATTGTTATGTACAAGAATTTTTGAGTTGCTGAATACGGGCATATCAAGATCTCGTACACATACATGTGTAATTAAGAGAAAGTTATTACTTACGACATACACATGCATATACTTAGATAAAGCTTGTGTTCTATCATGCAAAACACAATCACCAACTTCATCCTAATTTTGTTTCTCAAAGGAATGTGTGTTGTTACACCCATATAACTATTGCTACTTCAATTTTTAAACCCATATAACTATTGGTAAAGAGGGGAGAGGGACAGCTTATTTTCTCTTAAACGAATTCAAATTTTCTTAAACAAACAGAAAAATGCATGCTGTAGTTTCTGCGTAAACTACAAGATCAGTTTTCCAACATAGCTCAAGAGTGACGCAGTTAACTCCGAATCAATTTCATGTGACCGCTTGCATCCTACGCAGACAAATCAGAGTAGTGGAAATAAAATAAGAATTATATAAATAATAAAAAATTAATAAAATAAAATCAATCATGTTAATCACCTTACAAAAGTTATTTCAGCTTAATGTATAATTTTAAATTTAATTTTTAGTAACAAATTATAAACGTTATTTAAATTTTAACTAGATTTAATGGTTATAAAATGATCACTAACAGATGAGTCACCTACTACGTAGACATGCACCTTGTTGCTCTGTTTGCAAATTGCATTCCCTGATGGATAACAAATTACTTCCCAGTTTTCAAATTTTCCATTGTTTAACTCGACGACTCCACACAAAAGATAAGCAGAAGCAACAAGTGAAAGTAATTAATCTCAACCTTTGATTAAATTATTATTATATCTAACTGGAGAAACAATCTCACCCATGCTACACTAATTATTGGGTACCTCGTGTTAGAGGCTACCCTTTATATTTATAATACTAGATTAAAGATAAGATCAAAGCATTGAACCAATAAGACTTAAGAAACGATGGTTTGAGTGACATAGCTAATTACAAATGTGTCCCTGTCCTGGGCAGATATATGAGCAATAATGTTTTCCTGCATCCATTGCCAATCTCAAACATAACACAGTGCAGTGCAGATCTATTTTGCTCCTCATCAGATCTTTAGTCGTTATCAATCATTCTAAGGATGGCGGAACACATTCCATTTGCTGTTGCGTCTAATCTCATTCACAGGTTTGTTGTTGCAGCCTTTCTTGAATTTATACAATAATTATGGATTTTTTTTATTCTTGCATAATATGTTAGCTTATAGTTTAGGTTTTCTTTTCTTATTTACTTAGTTCGTCTGTTTGTTTTAGAATTTCACATCTTTTACTTTTTTTTTTTTAATTTTCACATATTTTCCTATTTTCTTAGTTTGTCTGCTTGTTTTCTTTTCCTCCTCTTTTATTGCTGTCAATAATTTTTATAAAAAAAATTCTTCATTTTTTCTTCTTTCTTTAACAAAAGTTTATATTTTCTTTTTCTTTTTTTGCACATGATAAAGTTTGTTTGATGGTTTTGTTTTTCAGTGTTTACATTTTTAAACATCTGAGACAAAACAAGCGGTTTAAAAGATAAATTTTATTAAACCAATTTATGCTTATTAAATTAAAAAAATAATGTTCAATTTATTTTATACCTTCTTGTAATTTTATTATCTCAAATTTTTTGTTTAAATATAAAAATAAGAAAGTAAATTTTTTATTTAAATTTCATATGGTGTTTTTTATACCGGGAATTTTATTTAATCAAAGATATTTATTTTTCTCAATAAAAATGTTATGTGTATAAATTAATGCTATGTGTTTTAAGAACGCAAACATACTTAAGCCTGGTTCTAATGATGGCTGACAGAAATCTACTTCAAATGTCATTCACAGGTTGGCTTCCGCAGATTTTATTGAATTTGGAAAGAAGTATGATGTGATAGAAGAGTTGGAAGAGCTCAAGAACACAATTGAATCCATCAATGATGTGCTCCTTGATGCTGACGATAAACAAGAGCAGGCTCGTGTGCGAGTTTGGATTAGAAGGTTCAAGGAAGTACTTCATGTTGCAGATGACTTCTTAGATGACCTTGCTATCGAATTTATGAGAAACAAATTGGACGAGGAACGAGGAACAGAAGTGACAAAGGTACTTTATCCTTTCTCATCTTCAAATCGAATTGATTTTCCCATTCAAATGGCTGAAGAAATTAAAAGAACACGAGAAAGTTTTGATGCTGTAGTAGAAGACATGTATAAATTGAATTTATGCCCAAGATCGATGGTGGTTAAGCAAACTGATAATGGATGGAGGGAAACATGTTCTTTTGTGTTAGAATCAGATATCATTGGAAGAGATGAGAGTAAAAAGGAGATTATTAATCTGTTGAAACACCCTAATGAAAACCAAAAAATTTCTGTGATTGCCATTGTTGGCCTTGGTGGTTTGGGGAAGACGACTCTTGCACAATTGGTGTATAACGACTTCGAAGTGCAGACTTTTTTTGAAATGCAAATGTGGGTTTGTGTCTCTGATAACTTTGATGTCAAAACTATTCTGAAGAAAATATTAGAATCAATTACAGGTGACCAAGTTGAAGACAAGTTATCATTAGGCAACTTGCAAAGAAAACTTCACGAACAAATAATTGGTAAAAAAATTTTGTTGGTCCTGGATGACATTTGGAATGAGAAACATGACAAATGGGTTGAAGTGAGAAAGTACTTGATGTTTGGCGCTCAAGATAGCAAGATTTTAGTTACAACTCGAACTGAAAATGTAGCAAAAGCCATGTCTGCTAGCACTTCCTATCCTTTGAAAGGTTTGACTGACGAAGAATCTTGGAGTTTATTGAAGAAAATTGCATTTGAGGATGATTCCAAAAGAGTGAATCAAAATCTAGAATCAATGGGGAAAAAAATAGCCAAAAAATGTAAAGGGGTTCCGCTAGCAGTTAAAACGCTGGGAGGCCTGTTACGAGGACAGAATGAAGAAAGTGAATGGGAGAATGTTTTATGTGGTGACCTGTGGAAATTATGTGAAGAGCAAGATAGTATCATGCCAATTCTAAAACTCAGCTACCGAAAATTGTTTCCTGAAATGAGACAATGTTTTGCTTATTGCTCTTTATATCCTAAGGATTCAGATATTCCAAAAGATGAGTTGATTCAGTTATGGATGGCACAGGGTTACCTTAAATGTTCAACTGAAAAACAACACATGGAGGATGTGGGTAATCAATTTGTAAAGATGTTTTTGATGAACTCATTTTTTCAAGATGCAGAAAGTGATGAATATGGTGAGATCTATAGTTTCAAAATGCATGATTTAATGCATGATCTTGCAATGCTGGTAGCTGGCAGTGATTATTGTCACTTGGATAGCAAGGCAGAAAAAGTTGAAGGTAGACCCATGCACGTATCATTGGAATCTGGGGCCATTCATTTATTGGATTCATTGGATGCAAACAGGCTGCGAACTTTGATCCTGTGGTCTTACGACAAGGAGGAGTTGTCTGTTGCAAATTTCAAATACTTGCGAGTCTTGAAGATGTCATCTTCTTCTTCTTCTTGCAAACTGTTTGATTCTGTAAAATTGAAGCATTTAAGATATCTTGATGTTGATGATTACTCCAGGATGACAGTTGGGTTGGGAAAATTGTGCTTTTTGCAGTTCTTACCAACCTATATTGTGGGGGATAGCCAAGAAACAAAATATGGCACACTAAGTGAATTGAAAGACTTAAACTTAAGGGGAGACTTAACAATTGCTTATCTCGATCGTGTGAGAGATGTGGCTCTGGAATCACAAGACGTAAATTTAAAAGAAAAAAAATTCCTTCAATCCTTGACTCTAACTTGGTGGCTTGAAGACATCCACAGAAGTGACAACTTACAATCGTTCAAAAGTGACAGCTTACAATTGTTAGAAAACCTTCAACCCCACCATAATCTTAAGCGATTGGAAGTGATTGGTTATCCAGGGGTGCTTTTCCCAGATTGGCTTTCTCGCCTCACAAATGTTGTTCACATCTCTCTTCGTGGCCTTTATAATTGCCCCTGTCTCCCACCGATGGAACGTCTACCGTACCTTAAGTCACTTCTGATGGACTCTTTTCATGAATTGAAGTACATACATCATCATGAAGATGGTTTTGCAGCAACCTTCTTCCCCTCTTTGGAGAGCCTCACGTTAAATAGTTGTGACAAGTTTACGGGATGGCGGAGGCGGGGAGATGATATTAATGATTATAAGAATTCACATCATCTCTCCTCTCTTTCGTTTCCTCGTCTTTCTGAACTATATGTCTCTTTCTGTCCAGAATTGACTTGCATGCCTACTTTCCCAAAAGTTAAAGTTTTAGAATGTTGTCGATGCAGTGTGGAGCCACTAACAGCAACACTAAACACACAATCAACATTTTCAGCTGACTCATCTTCCTCCTTTACTCCTCTTTCCACGCTCAAAAAATTGATCACATCTGATGTAAACGTAAAAGCGTTGCCAAAGGGTTGGATGCAAAATCTGACTTCTCTCGATTCTCTTCTAATTGCAAGCAGTCAGAGTGAAACACTAGAGGAATTTGAAACTGGGTTTAAGGACGACACCAACTGCCTTCCCTCTCTGCAAAAAGTATCCATAACAGTATGTGTAAACCTAAAGGCTTTGCCAAACTGGATTTGCAAACTCCCATCGCTTCAGCATATCGAGATCAGCGATTGCCCAAAATTGGCATCGCTGCCCAATGGAATGAGACGTCTTTCCAACTTAAAGATCTTTGAGGTCAACTTTTGTTCCCTCTTAATTAAAGAATGCCGAACAAAGACAAGTGTTGTTAGTCGCCAGATCGCACACATCCCACAGATTATCCTTCGTGATGAGATATTATTATAAAGGTACTGATGCCCTTTTCTGTCACCTGGTTTTGTATTGTTTAATTTTATAAACAAATTAATTATGCTGAAATCTCTAGTGCCCTTGCTTTTTAGGGGGTTTGGGTGTCCCTCCAACTTTTTAAGGACTACATTCCAATTTTAAGGGTTGTTAAGGACTACTCCTAAACCTATTTAATTTCCTTTTTTACCAACCTGCTGCTCCTAAGTTAAAAGCTCTAATCTGTTTCAAAAAGAAAGAGTAACCCGTGCAAGCAGCAGCGAGAGGAAAGAATAAATGGTGAACAGCAAAACTAGGTGTGGCATTCAATCATTGAAGACAATGACAAAAAATTTGTTTCCAGAAGAAAGGATAACAAGTGCGAAGCGGCAACAAAAGGAAAGAAGAAATGATGAACAACAAAATTGGTGGGACATTCGATCATTGAAGACACTAACTGAATAATCATATTGATTATTTCTGCATTTCGTGGTTGGAGAAAACGTTTTATTTAATATATCAATTAGGTAAGCTACCAAATCTCTTGATTTGTATATGTTTGTGCTTGTTTTAGTTGTAATTTGAATAAAGTATGTTAGAGGACAAGCATTATTCATGTGATAATAATATAAATTATGAAAGGTGGAGTTATAATTTATAAAATGTTATTTTTATGATTCGATAGTATCTCAATGACCGATTTATAGTGTTGTTTTCTATTACAAGTGCATGATTATTTGCGCAACTTTTGAGTTCAAGCATTGTAAAGAACAAGAAGAGAGAAAGTACACGGTGTAATTGTCGCACTCATCCTTCTGGACATTTTAGTGCTGCTCCATGGTAAGATGATTGTGAAGTTATGTTTTCTCAGTTGTTAATCAATAGGTTGCATGTCTTTGAATTTGAATTTGAACAACTTTATATTCATATGCAGTCTACTAGTACGTTTAATGCTGCTGCAAGATATGGAATCATAACAATTAACATATACAAATGTCATTTTTATTGTTATCTTAAAGAGTAGCTTCTTTCTTAGTGGCATATAATATTATTTTAAACTTCCAAGGAAAAAGCATAATCTTCCATATTTTAATCACTTCCAAATGATGTCCATACTCAGCTATGTATACATAAGAGTGTTAGAATTCACTACTAATTCCATCTTTGTTTCCACGCTTAAATTTCTATATTGCTTGCATTGTTTATATAGCAATATTTAGTATTACAGTTAGTAAGTGAAAAGAACTACCAAAATCATAGATATTTTAGAGACATCAATGACTAACCACAACATAAGTGAAACTAATTAAAAAATGTATCTGAAATGATAAAGAAAAAAAAAAACTTTTATTAAAATAGTTAGAAATTATCTTCTTGTTTGGGTTAAATTGTGTTAAGTAAAGTATCTGACACATACTTTTTGTTTCGTTTCATAACTAAAGATATTAATATGATAAATTTTTCGTTGGCATCGTAAGTTAGAAAACATTTTCGTATATATTATGAAGAACAAGTGAACAGTCAGCATTCTTTCAAAAATTTGAAATCCTTTTATCAATTAAGAAAAATGTACCTAGAAATTTTACAAAGTTACAAGGGAAAAAAATGGTTATGATCAATCTTCCTATTCATCGAAAGTATTATTAAGTGTTAGCATTATATGATGTTATTTTAATTATAAATGATTATATTTTTATTTTACTAACTTCAAAATATATACTAAAAATTAAATTTATTATTAAAAACGGTGACATTTATATTCAAGAAAAATAGATAATTTATCAAGATGAATTTCAAAAGTGACGCACGTAGTTTATTCAATTAAAGTATCAATAGGTCAACAAAAAGCGCGTGTATATGTTTTTTTTATTTATTATTATTTAGTTTCTAAGTTTGATTTTGATCAACTTACATGATTTGAATTCTTATTGATAGACGATCACTATCAAAATAACGAAGTTTTCTAAAGGTTTTGTAGTATAGGATCAAACCTAAGTTAATTCACTAACATACATTTTCAGTCAAATTTAATTTTAAGTTTTATTTTAAAGAATGCAAATAAAGTTTTTTGGAGTTTTAAAAATTACAAATTAATTAAATTAAATTAAGGATAGAATTAAAGTGAGTAAAAATGAATTAAGAAATATCAATCCATAAAATACCAATTGCGTGTAACTCCCGATTATCACCGTATCTAAAGATTTAAATCCGCGTTTGAACAATCACCCAATTCAATTATTAATTCAATCGAATATCTTAATTGAATAGAGTTACGAATTAAATTAAATAATCATTTAACTTAATCTGTATTAATTATCAAATCAGAGTATAGAGTTACGAATTAAATCAAATAATCATTTAACCTAATCTGCATTAATTATCAAATCAAAATATCAATCGAGTCCTAATTTGAATTCTAATAATAGAAAAGTCAATTACGATCACAATACACAATTCTGGATTAGAGAGAAAAGAGAACAAACTTGGAGCAATTTAGCACATAACTTAAGTCAGAATTACGGTGTTTGGGTTCCATGGATTGAACGAAAGGTTTAGCCTTCCATCGAAACACTTATCCCATGTAAGAATGAAAAAAGAACAAGAGAGTTTGAGAGAAAGTAAAAATAAATATTCTTATTTCAGCCAAGTCTCAAAATCTCAAAGTGTCTAATTCCGTCCTCTTTTAATTTAAAACCTTGTTAGTCTATTAATAGATTCTGATTAGCATAAATTAAGTGGTCAAAATTTGGGCCTTAATAATATCTAAAAGCTCAAATACAATTATTACATAACAAAGGTCCAAATGCAATCTCGCAAAAATATTTAGCAAATCTGCCCTAACTTCTAAAAATCATAATAATATAAAAAAAAAACTCCAAATCCAGCGATCCATATATGCATTTTGAAGCCATGGATGTAAAATCCAATGCAACTGGAATCAGCAAAAAAAAGATATCTGTAGAAAAAGTTATGGCCAAAAAAATAATCAGAGATCAGAATAACTGAAAATACGAAATTAAAACATTTATTTGTAATAGGTCCAATTTATTCAAATAAGTAGAAAATGGTAAAAATTATAGAAATAAAGCATATAAAAAGTGTTTATTAATCAAAATAAAACTATAAATGGAAACCTAAAATATGTCACATTAAATTCCCCTGCACTTAAGATTTTGCCTTTCGGGGCGAATCACAAAATCAAACCGTAGGGGACCTAAAACAAATTAGGCTATGTACAAAGCCCATCAAGCTCAAATATCATGGCTAGAATGGAAATCAATCCTCACACTTCAAGAACTTATCAAATCAAGTGAATGAACCATAAGAGATAGAATCCTCATATGATATACTCTCAATCACTCAAGTGTATAAGGTAAAATGTGTCACTCAAAATGCATAACATAAAGCATGATCATCCATAAGCTTGTCCATTGCCTACTTCTCCACTAGAATTCACACATATACACAAAAATCAAGAGGACTTTGCTAGGTTATAAAGGGGCATGGTAAAGGTGGAAAATTTACAAGAATTAATTTAAAACCAAAGAGGATAAAAGAACAATGGGGAATGAACCCAAAGAAAGTAAGCACGAAAGTAAATCCCCTAAACAAACATATAATGTAATACAATCCAAACACAATCCTCTTTTACTGTTGCTAGCCATCTAATGCTCATTTACCTTTTTATTGCTTACTTTTTCTTTTTCTTTGTTTCTCTTTTTTTTTTCTTCCATTTTTTTTGTAAGGAGCTGATTTTTCTTTTCTCTTGCATTTTCTAAGGTAATCTCCCGCACACTTATTTCTATGATCATTCCTAAAATAATTTCAAAGTTCTTGTATCCTCTAAGGTTAGGTCATTTTATTGTTTTACACCTTTAGCTTGAAATGAGCTAAGATCACAAGAAATAGGAAAAACATTAATAACAAGAAAGGGACCATCCCACCTAGATCTCAATTTACTAGGGATTAACTTAAGTCTAGAATTATATAAAAGGACTTTGTCACCAATGTGGAACTTTTTACTCCCTATTAGCTTATCATGAAAAGCCTTGGTGTGCTCCTTGTAGATGTTGGAGTTCTTATATATTTCTCTACGAATCTCCTCCAACTCTTGTAATTGAAACTTTCTATGTGAGCCAACTGCCCCTATATCCAAATTACATTATTTGATCGCCCAAAATCCCTTTGCTTCATTTTTACTGGTAGATGACATGTCTTGCCGAAAATAACCTGATAAAGAGACATTCCTATAGGTGTTTTGTAGGCGATTCTGTAACCTCCTCTAAACGTAGACTCTAATCCTTTCTGTTGGGTTAGATAGTCTTCTCTAGAATTTACTTTATTTTTTGATTGGAGATCTCCACTTGTCCATTAGTCTAGGGGCAGTATGGTGTGGAAACTTTATTCATAACCCCAAACTTCTAAAGTAAGATAGTCATTGTGCGATTGCAAAAGTGTGATCCTAGGTCACTGATTAATGCTCTGGGAAATCCAAACCTCCAAAAAACATGTGACTTCACAAAATCTACAAGAACGCGAGCATCATCAGTACGAGTGGCCTTTGCCTCCACCCACTTAGAGACATAGTCCACTGCTAACAAAATATAGGTATAGCCAAATGAAATAGGAAAGGAACCCATAAAATCTATGCCCCATACATCAAACACCTCACAGAAAATGAGAGGTAGTTGGGGCATGTTATTCTGGCATGAGATGTTCCTAATCCTTTGACATCACTCGCATGTCTTACAGAAGTTGTGTGCATCCCGGAACATGGTAGGCCAATATAGTCCAGAATCTAAGATCTTTTGGGTTGTACGTTGAGGTCCAAAGTGTCCACCACAAGCCAAGGAATGGCAAATCTAAGCACAGACTGTAACTCAGGTTTGGGCACATATCGTCAGATAATCTTATCATTGCACATCTTTCATAAGTATGGATCATCCCAAATGTAGTATTTGGAATCACTCTTTAGCTTGGCAATCTAAGCTTTACAAAAATATATAGGAATCTCCTTGGCA